AGGGTTCTCCCTCCCCTCCCACCCTCGCCTGCTCCTCCCTGTCTTCCCTGTGTCGAGGGGCGGCAGCGCGCCGCTCCTCACTCCTCCTCCTTCCCCCCGACGACTGCTCCTTTGCAGACGCTCCACATGGACGTGTGGGGCCCAGCCCGCGTCCGTGGTCAGGGTCAGGAGAGGTACTTCCTGATTGTTGACGACTTCTCGCGCTACACCACGGTCTTCCCCTTGCGCGCCAAGGGTGACGTCCCTGATGTCTTGATCCCTTGGATCCGCAGATCTCGTCTCCAACTCAGTGAGCGTTTCCACTCCGACTTCCCTGTCCTGCGTCTGCACTCTGACAGAGGTGGGGAGTTTTCCTCTGGCCTCTTGGAGGCCTTCTGTCAGCAGGAGGGCATTGAGCAGTCGTTCACACTTCCGGCCTCTCCACAGCAGAATGGGGTTGCTGAGCGCCGCATTGGCTTGGTCATGGAGGTCGCTCGTACCTCCTTGGTTCATGCGGCTGCCCCCCACTTTCTGTGGCCGTTTGCAGTCCGATACGCTGCGCATCAGCTCAACCTCTGGCCCCGTGTCTCCTTACCGGAGACTTCTCCGACACTGCGTTGGACGGGAGAGGCTGGCGATGCGTCGCGTTTTCGGGTCTGGGGATCTCGAGCTTTTGTTCGCGACACGTCCGCGGACAAGCTCTCCCGTCGCGCTGTCCCCTGTGTCTTCCTTGGCTTTGTCCCGGACGCGCCTGGTTGGCAGTTCTACCACGCCACCTCGCGTCGTGTCCTTGCCTCTCAGGACGTCACTTTTGACGAGTCCGTCCCCTACTACCGCCTCTTCCCCTACCGCACTGCCCCGCTCCCCCCCCCCCGCCTCTCTTCCTCGCTCCAGGTGCTGAGGTACCAGAACCCCTCCCCCCTCAGGGTGCCGCTCCCTCAGGTGTGTCCCAGGTAGACCCGGTTGAGCCTGTCGAGGTAGCTGTTGACTCTCGTCCTGCTGGGGGTACTGAGCCTGCCCGTGAGGAGTCTGGGGGTGCGGAGCCTGGGGGTGCGGAGCCTGGAGGTGCTGAGCCTGGGAGTGCGGAGTCTGGAGGTGCTGCGTCTGGGGGTGCTGCGTCTGGAGGTGCTGAGCCTGGGGGTGCTGAGCCTGACCGTGCTGAGTCTGGGGGTGCGGAGCCTGGGGGTGCGGAGTCTCGAGGTGCTGAGCCTGGGGGTGCTACGTCTGGGGGTGCTGTGTCTGGAGGTGCTGATCCTGAGCGTGCTACACCTGGAGGAGCCCTCTCCTCCCAGCAGCTGCAGGAGAGGTACCTCGAGTACTGCCGCCTCCGGAGAGGTGCTACTGGAGCTCGTACCAGTACTTCCCCTCCTACCCAGGAGCTCCCCCCCATTCAGCAGATCCGAGAGTGGTACGCGCGGCGCTGCAGTCTTCGGAGTAGTGCTCCTGGTGCTACGGACCCCAGCGGTGGCGCTGCTACTGGTGCTGAGGACCCGGGCGTTGGAGCTACTGCTGGAGCTGAGGACCCGGACGGTGGAGCTGCTGCTGGTGCTGAGGACCCGAGCGGTCGAGCTGCTGCTGGTGCTGAGGACCCGGGCGTTGGAGCTACTGCTGGAGCTGAGGACCCGGACGGTGGAGCTGCTGCTGGTGCTGAGGACCCGAGCGGTCGAGCTGCTGCTGGTGCTGAGGACCTGGACGGTGGAGCTGCTGCTGGTGCTGAGGACCCTGCCGCTGGTGTCGCTGCTGGTTCTGGAGACGCTGCGCGGCCGCGACCGTACTTCGTACCACTTCTTCAGCAGGTTCTTGGTCAGGCTCCTCCTCCTTGTCCTCCTCCCTCCGTAGCGTGTCCTCCGCCTGTCCAGTCGCAGTCACAGTTACTGCCTGCCTCGCCTCTCCCTGCTCCCTCTCCTTATACTGGTCCCACAGGAGGTCTTACAGAGCGTCGTGAGCCTGAGTCTCGTCCTGCGTCGCCTGTTCGTACTGCTCGCACTGGTCGTCGTGTCCCACGTGAGCGTCCTCCTCCTGTCCCTGGCACTCACTACATGACTCTGCGTCCCTCCACTGCTCCTCAGCGTGTCCCGCTGCCGTCTCCTCCTGCGTCCTCTCTGCCTACTCTTCCTGATCCGGAGTCTGACTCCCGTCGTGCTGCCAGTCCCACTGTCACCCGTCTCCTCGCTACTGTTGTCACTGACCCTACCTTTGAGTCCTCTGCTGCGTCTGCTCTGGTCGCTGAGTTGATCGACTTTGCTGCCCGGTGTCGTCTAGACTACGCCACTAGCCTTGTTGCTGAGTCTGAGTCTGTCTGTCCTCCGTCCGTCGGGGGTGAGTGTGCTCTTGGCACGGACGTCCTTGAGGACAGACAGGAGGAGTTCCAGTGCTTTGCTGCTGCTTTACCCCACCTCGTGTCCATGCTAGTTGCCCCTGAGGGAGACCCGGATGCACCAGACATCCCGACCCCGCGCACTTACGCTGAGGCGATGGTGGGTCCCTACTCCTCTCAGTGGCAGACAGCCATGGACGCAGAGATGGCTTCCTGGAAGTCCACAGGCACCTACGTCGACGAGGTTCCCCCACCTGGGGCGAACATCGTCAGTGGCATGTGGATTTTCAGGGTGAAGCGGCCGCCGGGTTCTCCTCCTGTCTTCAAGGCGCGCTACGTGGCTCGAGGCTTCAGTCAGCGAGAGGGAGTTGACTTCTTTCAGACCTTCTCCCCCACCCCGAAGATGACCACTCTTCGGGTGCTGCTGCACATAGCCGCTCAGCGCGACTACGAGCTTCACTCACTTGACTTCAGCACTGCTTTCTTGCAGGGCAGCCTGCACGAGGAGATCTGGCTGCGCCGCCCTCCTAGCTTCACTGGGTCGGTTCCTCCTGGTACCCAGTGGAGGCTTCAGCGGCCGGTCTACGGTCTCCGCCAGGCACCGCGTGAGTGGCACGACACACTGAGGACGACACTTGCGGCTCTTGGGTTCGCTCCCTCTACTGCTGACCCGTCACTGTTTCTACGCACAGACACCTCACTGCCGCCGTTCTACATCCTCGTGTACGTCGACGACTTGGTCTTTGCCACTGCTGACACCGCGGCACTCGCCCACGTGAAGTCGGAGCTGCAGAGGAGACACACGTGCACAGACCTGGGTGAACTGACAAGCTATCTTGGCTTGCGGATCACCCGGGACAGAGCACGGCGCACCATCACCTTGACTCAGTCACACATGGTGCAGCAGATCCTTCAGCGCTTCCGCTTCACGTACTCCTCGCCTCAGTCCACTCCTCTGCCTACCGGTCACTCGCTCTCAGCTCTGCCTTCGGATGAGTCCGTAGAGCCGAGTGGCCCGTATCCAGAGCTTGTGGGCTGCCTCATGTACCTGATGACCTGCACTCGACCTGACCTTGCATACCCTCTTAGCATCCTTGCGCGCTATGTCGCTCCTGGCCGTCACAGGAAGGAGCACATGGATGCCGCTAAGAGGGTGTTGCGCTACTTGTGCAGTACGTCGGGCATGGGGCTAGTGCTTGGAGGGCGAGACCGAGTTGTACTTACTGGACACTCAGACGCTTCTTGGGCAGACGACCAGGCTACTCAGCGGTCGTCTCAGGGTTACACCTTCAGCCTTGGCTCCGGCTCAGTTTCTTGGCGTTCTACACGCTCTTCTTCTGTTCTCAGCTCCAGTTGTGAGGCTGAGATCTACGCCACAGCCATGGCTGCCCAGGAGCTACGCTGGCTGACCTACCTGCTGACCGACTTGGGAGAGCGGCCTCGTTCTCCTCCAGTGCTGTACGTCGACAACCAGGCTGCCATTGCCTTGTGTGAGGAGCACAGACTGGAGCACAGAACGAAGCACATCGCCCTGCGGTACTTCCTTGCTCGAGAGCTGCAGCAGCGTGGTCAGCTTCGTCTGCGTTACGTGGCCACTGAGGCCAACCTTGCTGATGTGTTCACCAAGGCACTTCATGTTAAACTGTATTATGCTTGTAGGCTGTAGTGGGGTAGCCAATATGGGGTACAACCCCAACTAGGGTTTCATATTTGTACCCAAACTTCTGCTAGTTCATTCATTCTTGCCTAGTTCTTCTGAGATGGTATTCAGAGCAGGAGGTCCCTAGGACCTACCGACCGTTTTTTTTTTAAGGGCCCACCACCGCTCGCATGCGGTTACCACGCTACCCCGTGCCCTAGCCTCGTAGCGCCCTCGTGCGCCCTCGTTAGCGCCCTCGCGCGCCCCTCGTTAGCGCCCTCGCGCGCACCCTCGTTAGCGCCCTCGCGCGCCCCTCGTTAGCGCCCTCGCGCGCCCCTCACTAGCGCCCTCGCGCGCCCCTCACTAGCGCCCTCGCGCGCCCCTCGCAGTGTCGCCCGCCCGCCGAGCCGCCCGCTCGCAGCCCGCTCGTCCCGCTGCCCGCTTCGCAGCCCGCCCGCCCGCTCGCTGCTCGCTTCGCGGCCCGCCCGCTTCGCAGCCCGCTCGCCCCGCTGCCCGCTTCGCAGCCCGCTCGCTCGCTGCCCGCTTCGCGGCCCGCCCGCTTCGCAGCCCGCCCGCCCGCTCGCTGCCCGCTTCGCGGCCCGCCCGCTTCGCAGCCCGCCCGCCCGCTCGCTGCCCGCTTCGCGGCCCGCCCGCTTCGCAGCCCGCCCGCCCGCTCGCTGCCCGCTTCGCGGCCCGCCCGCTTCGCAGCCCGCCCGCCCGCTCGCTGCCCGCTTCGCGGCCCGCCCGCTTCGCAGCCCGCTCGCCCCGCTGCCCGCTTCGCAGCCCGCCCGCCCGCTCGCTGCCCGCTTCGCGGCCCGCCCGCTTCGCAGCCCGCTCGCTCGCTGCCCGCTTCGCGGCCCGCCCGCTTCGCAGCCCGCCCGCCCGCTCGCTGCCCGCTTCGCGGCCCGCCCGCCTCACTGCCCGCTTGCTGCGTCGCCCGCCGCGCTTCTCGCCTGCTGCTACCTGCCTGTGCACCGCCGCTTGCTCCTGCTGTGGCTGCTATCTTCGCTCTAGCGCGTCCCCTCTGCTGCTGCCGCTGCTCTGCTGTGCCCTCACGCCTGAGCTATGGCCTCTATTCGCGTTCTTTCCTTCGATGCTGAGGGCCGTCCCGTGCAGTTCACTTCCTGGCTCGACGACCTGCAGTTGTATCTTATGAGCAATAGCACGGACCACATCTCCCTCTATGACTACGCGTCTGGTGCTGCCGCTGCTCCTGCTGCCACAGCCGAGCTTAGTGTTCGTTCCCACTGGCAGACTCGTGACGCAGCTGCTCGCCTAGCCATTCGCAGTCACCTGCCGCTAGCTGAGCTCGAGCATTTTGGCGACTGCAAATCCGCTAAGGCCCTGTACGATGCTGTCGTTGCTCGCTACTCCTCGCCTGCCACAGCCGAGCTTAGCCGCCTCATGCTGCCGTACCTGTTCCCCGATCTGTCCACCTTTACTACAGTCGCCGATCTTATCACCCACCTTCGCACTAGTGATGCTCGCCTGCGTGCCGCCCTTCCCACCGAGTTCTGCGCTAAGAACCCCCCTCCACTGTACTGGACACTCCACTTCATAGTCACCCGTCTCCCTGACACCCTCCGCTCAGTTCGAGACCACTTCCTTGCTCGCTGTCCCACTGAGCTCACAGTCGCCCTCCTAGAGGAGCAGCTGCTCGCGGCCGAAAAGAGCATTGTAGCTGTCGGTGCTGCTCGTGGCGCTCCTCGCACCCCCATCTTTGAGGGGTGTTCTCCCTCTCCCCTCGCTCCCTCCTACACTGCTGCTGCTGCTGTTGACTTCCTTGGTGCTGAGTCTGTTGGCGCTGCTTCTGCTCCTGGTGGGAGGCGCCGCACCGGCAAGGGCAAGGGGGGCAAGGGTGGTGGTGGTGGCGCTGGGGGGGGAGGAGGTGGGGGAGGTGGGGGGGGAGGCGGTGCTGGAGGGAGCGGTGGCGGGAGCGCTGGTGGGAGTGGGGTCGGTGGTGGAGGCGGGGGCGGCGGAGGAAGCAGTGGCAGTAGTGGCGGCGGCGGCGGTGGCGGCGGCGGCGGTGGCGGCGGTGGCGGTGGTGGCGGTGGCGGCGGTGGCGGTCGGAGCGGTGGTAGTGGTGGCGGCGGAGGTCGGAGTGGAGGCACTGGCTCGGGCCAGAGCTCCCAGCAGCAGCAGCGTCCCCAGACGACCCAGCAGCTTCGTGAGTGGCTTGCTCAGCGTGGGACGTCGGGGGGCAGTGGCCGCTGTTCTTATGTCATTCGCACAGGTGACCGCAAGGGACAGACGTGTGGGAGGTTCCACACCCCGTACCGCTGCTTCTCCCGCCTTGACGACGCTTGGCGTGAGGAGATGGGTGCGGATGTTGAGCGCCCCCGCTGGGCTGAGCTCATGAGGGCTGGTGTCGATGTCTTTGCTCTTGACTATGATGCTATTATTGCTGCCATGTATGCATTGACTGTTAGTGCCGAGGGAGACTGTTACTTGTGTGTGCCGCCTGACCCAGGTATAGAGCCCGCTGCCCTGGGTACTAGTGAGTCTGCTCTCTCAGGTACAGCACCCACAGAGACTGCTCTCTCAGGTACCCCACCGGCTGAGGCCTGTCACACCTTCACCCTTGACTCAGGTGCTTCCCGTTGCTTCTTTCGTGACAGTACTGAGCTCACACCGCTTCCTGCACCGGTCCCAGTCTCCTTGGCTGACCCCTCTGGGGGCCCAGTCCTTGCCCAGTCCACCACTGTCCTCCCTTGTCCGGCGGTTCCGTCTGGCTCGTTGTCGGGTTTCCACCTCCCCTCGTTCTCGACGAACCTGGTGAGCAACGCTGTCCTCCAGGATCAGTGGGTTGACACCTTTACCCCTGGAGGACAGCGTGTGGCGATCTGCACGTGCTCCAGGACCGGCCGTCACCTGGCTACGTTTACTCGTCGGCCGGGGTCGAGTCTCTACACACTGACCACTACGTCTCCTCAGGTCGCTGCTGTCGGTCAGGTGTCTGCGTCAGGTCTGGTAGCCCACGCCTGTGAGTGTCGTTCCCTGTCGCACCAGACTCTTCTCTGGCACCACCGCCTGGGTCACCCCTCCTTGCCACGCCTTCGTGGCATGCACCGTCGCCACCTTGTGTCTGGTCTTCCCAGGTCCCTCCCTCCCCTCCCTGCCTCGCCTGCGCCGCCTTGCCTTCCTTGCGTCGAGGGGCGGCAGCGCGCCGCTCCTCACTCCTCCTCGTTCCCCCCGACAGAGGCTCCTCTGCAGACCCTCCACCTGGACGTGTGGGGCCCAGCCCGCGTTCGTGGTCAGGGCGGTGAGCGGTACTTTTTGCTGGTTGTCGACGACTACTCGCGTTACACCACGGTCTTCCCCTTGCGCACCAAGGGTGAGGTCCCTGCTGTTCTGATCCCTTGGATCCGCACCGTTCGTCTCCAGCTCCGCCGCCGTTTCCGGACGGATCTTCCTGTCCTGCGTCTGCACTCTGACAGAGGTGGTGAGTTTTCCTCCGATCTCTTGAGGACCTTCTGTCAGGCGGAGGGCATCGAGCAGACCTTCACGCTTCCGGACTCCCCACAGCAGAATGGGGTTGCTGAGCGCCGCATTGGCCTGGTCATGGAGGTCGCTCGTACCTCCTTGGTCCACGCGGCGGCTCCCCATTTTCTGTGGCCGTTTGCTGTCCGGTACGCCGCGCATCAGCTCAACCTCTGGCCCCGTGTCTCCTTGCCGGAGACCTCGCCCACACTGCGTTGGACGGGGGAGGTTGGCGATGCGTCGCGCTTCCGGGTGTGGGGTGCTCGTGCCCTTGTCCGCGATACGTCCGCGGACAAGCTCTCCTCCCGCACGCTTCCCTGTGTCTTCCTTGGCTTTGTCCCTGACGCGCCTGGCTGGCAGTTTTACCACCCCACCTCGCGCCGGGTCTTCGCCTCTCAGGATGTCACCTTTGACGAGTCGGTCCCTTTTTACCGTCTCTTCCCCTACCGCACTGCCCCCCTCCCTCCCCCGCCGCTTTTCCTTGCTCCTGGTCCCCCTCCGGTAGACCCCCTTCCCCCTCAGGGTCCTGCTCCTTCAGGTGTCTCTCAGGTAGACCCTCCTCCCGTCGCTGAGCCTGTCGAGGTCACAGGTGACTCAGGTGCTGCTGCGGGTGGTGCTGCTGGGAGTGCTGAGCCTAGGGGTGCTGAGCCTGGGGGTGCTGGGCCTGGGGGTGCTGGGGCTGCGGGTGCTGGGACTGAGGGTGCTGGAGCTGAGGGTACGGTGCCTGAGAGTACGGAGCCTGGGGGTGCTGAGCCTGGGGGTGCTGAGCCTGCGGGTGCGGGGCCTGGGAGTGCTGGGACTGCGGGTGCTGGAGCTGAGGGTACTGTGCCTGAGAGTTTGCCGCCTGGGGGTGCTGAGCCTGGGGGTGCTGCGACTGGGGGTGCTGAGCCTGCGGGTACTGAGCCTGCGGGTACTGAGCCTGGGGGTGTTGCTACTGAGCCTACGGAGCCTCGGGTTACTGCGTCTGGGGGTGCTCCGGTTCGGGGTGCTGAGCAGTCTCTCACACCGCAGCAGCTTCGTGACTGGTACGTCCGGCGCTTTCGCCGTCCTAGTGGCTCGGCTGGAGTTGGGGGTGCTGGGGCTGCTCGTCCTGGGGGTGCTCGTACTGGGGGTACTGGAGCTGCCGGGACTGGTTGTTCTGGGAGCACTGCGACTGGAGCTGCTGGAGCTGGGGACCCTGGCGCTGGCGGTGCTAGCGGAGTTGGAGCTGCCGACTCTGGGGGTGGCGCTGCTGCTAGTGCTGCGGACCCGCCTGGTGGAGCTGCTGCTGGAGCTGAGGACCCGAGCGGTGGCGCTGCTGCTGGTACTGGGGACCCGGACGTTGGAGCTCCTGCTGGTCCTGAGGACCCGGCCGCTGGAGTCTCTTCTGCTTCTGGAGACGCTGCGCGGCCGCGACTGTACTTCGTACCGCTCCTTCAGCAGGTTCTTGGGCAGGCTCCTCCTCCTTGTCCTCCTCCCTCCGTGGAGTGTCCTCCGCCTGTCCAGCCGCAGTCACAGCTACCGCCTGCCTCGCCTCTCCCTGCTCCCTCTCCTTACGCTGGTCCCACAGGAGGTCTTACAGAGCGTCGTGAGCCTGAGTCTCGTCCTGCGTCGCCTGTTCGTCCTGCTCGCACTGGTAGTCGTGTCCGTCGTGAGCGTCCTCCTCCTGTCCCAGGCACTCACTACATGACTCTGCGTCCCTCTACTGCTCCTCGGCGTGTCCCTCTACCGTCTCCTCCTGAGTCCTCTTTGCCTGCCGTTCCGGACCCTGAGTCTGACCGGTATCGCGCTGAGCACCCTACAGTCACGCGTCTCCTAGCTACTGTTGTCACTGACCCTACCTTTGAGTCCTCGGCTGCGTCTGCTCTGGTCGCTGAGTTGGTTGACTTTGCTGCTGCCTGTCGTCTAGACTACGCTGCTAGCCTTGTTGCTGCGTCTGAGTCTGAGTCTTTCTGTCCTCCGTCCGTCGGGGGTGAGTGTGCTCTTGGCACGGACGTCCTTGAGGACAGGCAGGAGGACTTTGACTCTCTTGCGGCTGCTGTACCTCATCTCGTGGCCTGGTTGCTTGCCCCTGAGGGAGACCCGGATGCACTAGACATCCCCACTCCGCGCACTTACGCAGAGGCGATCTCGGGTCCCTACTCCTCTCAGTGGCAGACAGCCATGGACGCAGAGATGGCATCCTGGAAGTCCACAGGCACCTACGTCGACGAGGTTCCCCCTCCTGGGGCGAACATCGTCGATGGCATGTGGATTTTCAGGGTGAAGCGGCCGCCAGGTTCTCCGCCTGTCTTCAAGGCTCGTTACGTTGCTAGAGGCTTCAGTCAGCGTCAGGGGGTCGACTTCTTCCAGACCTTCTCCCCCACCCCGAAGATGACCACTCTTCGGGTTCTGCTGCATGTTGCTGCTCAGCGTGACTACGAGCTTCACTCTCTTGACTTCAGCACAGCGTTCCTGCAGGGCAGCCTGCATGAGGAGATCTGGCTGCGCCGCCCACCTGGCTTTACTGGGTCGTTTCCCCCTGGTACCCAGTGGAGTCTCCGCCGGCCAGTCTACGGTCTCCGCCAGGCGCCACGTGAGTGGCACGACACACTGAGGACTACACTTGCGGCTCTTGGGTTCGCGCCGTCTACTGCTGACCCGTCGCTGTTTCTGCGCACAGACACGTCGCTGCCGCCGTTCTACATTCTCGTGTACGTCGACGACTTGGTCTTTGCTACTGCTGACACTGAGGCACTCGCTCGTGTGAAGTCGGAGCTGCAGAAGAGACACACCTGCTCTGACCTGGGTGAACGTCGTCCCTCTGCCTTCACTGGCTCTTTCCCTCCTGGGACCCAGTGGAGGCTGAGGCGACCGGTTTACGGTCTTCGTCAGGCTCCTCGTGAGTGGCACGACACCCTGCGTTCTACCCTGTCTGACCTTGGGTTCCAGCCGTCTTCTGCTGACCCGTCGCTGTTCGTTCGTCGTGGCACCACACCTTTCTTTGTTCTGGTCTACGTTGACGACCTTGTTTTTGCCACCCCTGACAGGGTTGCTTTGGCACACGTGAAGTCCGAACTGCAGAAGAGACACACCTGCACTGATCTTGGTGAGCTGCGCCACTACCTTGGCCTGCAGATCACCAGGGACAGAGCTGCTCGCACCATTACACTTTCACAGTCGCACATGGTGCAGCAGGTCCTTCAGCGGTTCGGGCTTCAGCACTCCACAGTACAGCGCACACCTCTTGCTGTTGACCACAGACTCACTGGACCCTTTCCTGACGAGCCGTTCGAGCCTAGTGGTCCCTACGCAGAGCTTGTGGGTTGCCTCATGTACCTGATGACTTGTACTCGCCCGGACCTCGCCTTCCCTCTCAGCGTTCTTGCGCGCTTTGTTGCGCCAGGGAGACACCGTCCTGTTCACTGGACAGCAGCTGTGAGGGTGGCGAAGTACCTAGCGACGACGTCAGGCGTGGGGCTAGTTCTTGGAGGGCAGCAGTCTGTCGTACTTACTGGTCACTGTGACTCCTCTTACGCTGACGACGCTGAGACTCACAGGTCTACTCAGGGGTACTGTTTCAGCCTGGGTTCTGGAGCTGTTTCCTGGCGGTCCACGCGCTCCTCTTCGGTCTCGACCTCTACAGCTGAGGCTGAGATCTACGCTGGTGCCATGGCAGCACAGGAGCTGCGTTGGTTGACCTTCTTGCTCACCGACCTTGGTGAGCGGCCGAGCTCTGCACCGACCTTGTTCACTGACAACAAGGCGTCTATTCTCCTTTGTCGAGAGCCACGACTGGAGAGCAGAGTGAAGCACATTCACGTCAGGTACTTTCTTCTGCGAGAGTTGCAGAGGCGTGGACAGGCTCGCTTTGAGTTTGTGGAGTCCGAGGCCAACACTGCAGACATCTTCACCAAGGCGCTTCCGCCTTGTGACCACCAGAGGTGCTGTGTGCAGTTAGGCCTTGTTGACACTGGTTCTCGTGTTGCTTAGACTTGAGTGTACTGTTTACTTTGCTTTCTATATATATCTGTTACTTCTTGGACTGGCCTTGTGGCCACTGTTGTTTGTGCTCAGACTGTGTGGTGACGTTGTGATCCACCCTGAGCTTCGTTTCTTGGACTGGTCTTGTGACCGTACTCTTTTGATTCTGCTAGACACCCCTCACTTAGGCTATGGGGGTGTGTCAAATGTTGTAGCCTATAGTGAGGTTTGTCTTAGGGGGTACAAAACTTAGGGTTAGCTATATGTACCCCAACCAACATCAATGCATCATCCATTCTTCATTCTGACAAACAAGGCCGCCATTGCCTTGTGTGAGGAGCACAGACTGGAGCATAGAACGAAGCACATTGCTCTGCGTTACTTCCTGGCTCGAGAGTTGCAGCAGCGAGGCCAGCTTTGTCTTCGTTACGTGGCCACTCGGGCCAACACTGCTGATATATTCACCAAGGCATTTCCGTCTGGTGATCATCAGCGCTTTTGTACTCTGTTAGGCCTTGTGCCTACGCTTCCACACTTGCTGTAGTCTTTGCTTGTACTGTGATCTATATACATATATACCTGTATGCTGGCTCTTGCTAGGTAGCCATCATGTCAGAATCCCAGTCACTAACCACTGGGATAAAAGGGCTTGTTTGTGTAGCGGGTGAGTGCGCCCATAACCCCCCAGGCCGACGTGCCTGTAACCCTTCCCTAGGATCAATCGGGGATCACCAGTGGACCTCTGACACATCACTGTACTGTCATTGCTTCATATATATCTCTGCATGTGAACTGGCCTTGTGGCCATTTGCTTGTGCTCAGAATGTGTGGTGACGTTGTGATCCACCCTGAGCTTGTTTTGCTTCTCTTGACTGGTCTTGTGACCCGTTGCTCTCCCCCACTTTGCCTATGGGGGTGTGTCAAATGATATATATGTGTGATATATATTGGTAGGCTGTAGTGGGGTAGATGTTATAGGGGATAACACTTTAGGGTTGTGTTATTTTGTACCAAACTCTCGATAGTCAATCCAACCTTGCCTGATTCTCTCGACGACTAGCTTGTGCTCGGAATTTGTGTGGTATCCTTGAGATCCACCCTGAGCTTGTTTTGCTTTGCTTTGACTGGTCTTGTGACCCCTTGCTCTCCCCCACTTTGCCTATGGGGGTGTGTCAAACATTATATATGTTGTGTTTGTTTAGGCTACAGTGGGTTAGCCTATAGGGGGTACACAATTCTAGGGTTAGGTACTTGTACTGATTTCACTGCTAGTTCAATCATTCCTGTCTGTTGATTTCGACATCAACTACCCTATTACCGGAACTTTTTTCTACCGCGGATTCCGCCACAGTACGCGCCACGACAAAATGCACCACGGTCCCACTGGACCATTTGTTCGATACACCCACTGGCGCGCCAACGCACATTCAGCACGGATGCCCGCACACACCTACGATTGGTTTGTTGAGCAACATTACAGCCAACGCACCCGGTTTCCGTGTGTTCCCGAAGCACCACTCACTGCCAACGTAGCCAAATTGCGCGCCAGGTGGGGTACGTGCTGTCGTTTCCACCACCTGGCAGTCATTGTAGCCTTGCAGCCTATGCCATGCAGTTCCCGATGGTTTATTTAACTAGATTATTCGTACAGGTTGTGTGCAGAACACTTTAGTGTTAAGTAACTGATAGTGTAGTTTAAATACGTGCGTAGGAAGGAAACAGTGTACGACATATATTACCCTGCTGAAATCAGTGTACCTGAACTTTTAGGCTGCTACAATCAGTGTACGAGAAAAATTACCCTACCAGTCAGGGTACGGAGGGCCTGCCACCCTGATTTGAAAGAGTGAGCTAAAACCTATTTTGGGCCCTGGTTAGTAGAACTGATAGTGCTTCTGTACTACACAAGTATTTTTGCTAGACTCTCCATGTGAGTTCAGTGGCCACTGGCCACACCACACCTAATCTGAGTATCTTGCCACCTGACTGAAAACACATCCAGCCCAGGTCCTTCTCATGAAGCCTCGATTCTAGCACACCATACATGAAGATTATAAATTTTAAACACACATGTAGTGTTTTTTAAAATTGTGTATTGTGAAAGCGAAGCTGCTTGTACTGCACAATTGGCATCGTCGAAGCGCGCTAAACGCCCTTCTCCAACTACAAAAACCGTGGGTTGGAGCTCATTTCCCTCCACCCACGTTTCTCAATTTTCAAACGGCTCACTCAACATTCCCACCACCCACCCCAGAGTAAACCGCCTTGCTAATGCCACTTGGATAGGGTATATCCTAGCTAGCGTTATTAGTCCGCACTAGCTTGTGTCGAATGATGATACAAATGTTGTAATACGCCATTTGTAATGAGAACGATGCCAATTGATAAGAAAGAAAGCAAGCTTTCTCAATTTAGTGAACAGGCTTGGAATTCCTTTGACAGCAGCTGCAGCACCCACGTACACTGCTGGTTTCCATTCTAGCCAGTCCATCCGTCAGCAGCAGCATAATTTTGTTGACCACAATCTCAGATCCTCACTTGAAGATATCTTCCATTACTGGACAAAACAGAAGGGAGCAGCTCTTTCACACCTACACTAATAAAAACAAGCTCTAACTAAACTAAACAACTCAGGGCTGGCTGGTATTGATGCCAATAACTCAAGCCCCAAACCACCTCACCTTATTTTTCTTCTCCCAACTTCTCCAAGGCATCTTCTGCCTCGGCAAGTATGGTATCTACAGAGCAGAGTGGTGGTGGTGTACATTGTAACACCTAACACCATTACAGAGTGCCTCCCGTATCTCCATTTTTACTTGGCCCGGCCAGCAGCTGTTGGAGGCACAACCACGGATCCCATGGAAGAAGCTGCGCATGTGGCCATGCCGTCTGCTTGTGCACCTGAAGAAACGCCTGAAGAGTTGCTCCCGTACGGGATGGCATGAATGAAGGTCTCTGTTGGGAAGGCGGCACACATCTTGGCGGTAGTGACGTTCTCCTCCTGCTCCACTGCCGAACCGGAAGCAGATGGCTCGGCAACCGTGGCTGGAAGAGCCTCGGTGATTGCCGAGCCAAGATGGCGAAGCAGATGGCGGATGGGACTGGGTTCACTGCAGGTGACAGAAACGGGAGCAAAGAAGGGAGAGACGGTCAGAAAATGAGCAGATTGACAAGATTGAAAAGAATGAAGTTGTTGAGCAGGTGGGGGTTACAGAGCAGGCGGAAGAACGGCAGCCGGGCAGGGTATACAGGGGTGAAATCTCGCAAAGAAGGCAGGGGGTTTTGTGGAGGACATACGATCCTCGGGCGCCGCGGAAGGTGCAGCGGTCGGGACAGCGCGCAGCCACGTCACCCGCTTGGAGAAATTTGACTTCTCCGAACGACCCATCGGCTCCGTGGAGTTCAAGTGATGACTGCTTGCTGCAGTAGTCTTCGCAGAAGGTTTCGCCGGCGATGGATACTGCGACGTCGCCGCTGGTAACCAGCAGGTAGAGCGCGGCGCGGTCGAATGGAAGCGCGCCGATGTCGATCTGGTGCTGGACGGCTGAGAGACAGCAAACGAAGAGGAGCGGAAATCAGGAAAATGGGAAGTCAAGATTAGTTGCAAGGAATGCAAAATCGGAAGTCGCGACATTGGCACATTGAAGAGGTTACATTGCTACCTTCGAGTGCGGTGTCGTCATAGTGGTGGTTATCAATGGCTACGGCTCCCAGCTGAGCCTGCACCCACAGGAACGGTTGAGAACGGACAAAAACAGTAACGTTATAGTCATTTGCCGGAAAAAGCATGCGAAAAAACTGTTACGGTGCGAAGGATGACACCCAAGGATGTGAGACGTGCGACAAAGTGAGCTCATGCGCGAATGACACCGAGTGAAAGGAGGAAGGCGGTGCCGCAAGAGCTAGTATCGCGGATATTTGGGCGACTCAGGAGTTTAGTACCTGCGAGTCATAGCCTTGAGCTGGCAGCGCGCTGATGAAATCTTTCACGAGAGCCACGTCAGCAGCCTCCCACGTGCCGTGGAAAACGGCGTGGACGGGCGTGCGTGGAGTCTCGCGGCCTTCGCCGCTGTTGTAGACCGTAGACGAGAACTCCCGGGAATGGACGGCAGGGACGAGCGCGACGAGAATCGGGACGGCGATGGAGAGGAGACCGAGGAGCGCGCGCATGTTGAGCGAGGATCGGGGAGCCATGGTGTCTCTTCGGCTGAGTGTGTGCGCGTCGCGTCGCTAGGCGTCGAGTGTGTGGCAAAAAAGTGTTAACTTGAATTTAAAAGTGAATCTGAAACAACGTGGAAGTGAGATACGAGGTCAGCAGGAGCTGTGCGAGCTCGGTGATGAAGTAAGCAGAGCCCACAGCTCGAGAGTCCACAGCGCTGGAGCTGCTTGTCCAGTTGAGCCCCAGGGTTGTGGGATCTTCAAGACGGGAAGTATGGGAAGTTTGGGAACCCAGGAAAAACTTCTGCAAATATCGAGCCCATATATGATTTCCAGTGTTGCAGATTTGGAGTGTCGGGGGGGCGAGCGGAAGAAAATGCGGGGCGCGGAAGGCAGAGGCGTACGCGCGAGGCAATGGTGACATTTGGATAAGAACATTCTGACCTAAAACCTTTTTGCATTACGGCGTGGTTTGACGAGTACTGTAGAAGAGCTTCATGACTCACGACTTACTGTAGTGGAGGCCCTCCTGCCTGGGTTTCAGATCAGAAATTGCAACACATATTTCAAGCAAAGCGATGGTGCAATAATTCAAGTGGTCGCGGAGGAACTTTCGAGCGCAGCGATGAAGCTCGCAGTTCCTCCGCAGCGCCCATATGCGAGTCGCGGACATTTCTGCGAGGAGATCAAGAAACAGGAAACCCTGATTGCCTGGAAGAGTGGCAAACGGACGTGGCTTAGATACACAAGATGCCCAACCCCTGCACGCGAAATTGCCTCGCACATTCCAGAAACCTTGCACACGAAGGTTTTTTCCCGGGCAGTTGCACCCACGTTACAAGCACGTCAACCAATACGAACCACAGAAACAGAAGAGACCGAAGTCAAACAGTCAACGGTGAGTTACAAAATTTTGCTATAAGCCCTTTTTGCCCGACGCGAATTGACGAAACCTCCACGAAATGCATGAATCACTTAAGCGCCCCCTTCACAAGGCAACCTTGGGTTAGTCAAACGGACATCGTGTGTAGTTGTCGAGCTATCTTGTCAAGGCGTTGACGGGGAAGGGCAGCATTTCTTCTGACCCCAGTGGCCGATTTGGCCATGGCCCGCAGCTTGCGTTCTTTCCCATGTCCCACGTGTAACGAAAGTAGGCCAATGGCGGGCATGTGTGACAGCTTGGACAGACCAAAACGATTTTCACGTGCCCATAACTGCTCCCGCAATGCTGCCTCAGATTGTACCCCACGCCGAAATACATGCTCTGCCCGTGAATGAAGCTGGCACCCCTTGTTGACAGCCGTTTAGGCCAGGATGTTGAGCATTGTTCATCAGCCCACGATGGCAAAGGGTTTCTACACTATACCCTACAATTGCGTAAAGTTATCCCAGAAACGTTCATCTGCCCTGCCTTAGGGTTCACTCGCCACGCCAACGTAGGGTGATGCGCAAACCACGGAGGCCACCATCATCAGCAGGCATGGGTTGTGGGTTCTTTAGGTTACAGCGAGGATGTACAGTGAACAACTATGAAGCTCATTTTGCTAATTAGAGAAGCAAACTTTCACCCCATCATCAGAATTTATATTTGTTATTCAAAAAGTGTATTTTGCAACGAGATTGGTTGCGTGCTTTCAGTCAAAATCACATAAACGATTTGCGCAAATATTCGTAGGTGTGTCCACCATAAGGTTGAATGGTGGAAGTGAGTGAGTTATATATTAAAAGAGCAGCAAATGATATGGTGGTGTGCACATGGAACACCAGTACCAGGTTGTCCATGGGGAGAAGGATCTTTGCGTGTTTGTTGGCTGGAATGTCGCCGTGACGTCTTGCACTTGCTAATTAGTAGACATAGGGAATGAGTTTCTTCACACGGGCACCGTAATCTACATATGGTCGCCCAAATCTAACAATAAGCCATTTCTCCTCTACAGTCGCCTTCCTGTCTAGGAACATCGCAAGAAAACAAGTATACAGCAACCTCTCGCCGCTGCATGTTGCGAGAGTCACCCCCACTGCGAAGAAAATAGCTCCTGCATATATCGGATGACGCACAATCGAGTACAAGCCTCCTGTCTTCAGGGTGGCGGCAGCTGCAGGTTTGGGAAAAGGTGTCAAGCTTTCTCCAAGGTCTTTCAGAGCAGATACGAAGAAAACACAGGAGCTCAGAGCGATCAGAACGCCAGTAACGCGGATGACGTCGAAGGATAAAATCGTCACGGACGGGCAGACGGAGGCGCGAAAGAAGGCGGGAAGGAGAGACGGAGGAGGGTATAGAACGAGGATGAACGGGATGAGCTGAAACACGGCCCACCACTCGCCACGTGTCCCCCATTTCCCGTCGTTCATATTCCTCCATACTTGCGCGCGCTGTGTCGCCTGCCGCTTCTGATTCTTGGGCCTTCTGTCCCCTGTCAGGGAGGGCAGGACTCTTCGGAAGAGTAATCTAGTCGCGCTAGGTGAGGGATCAGGAAGGGGTTGCTGGAGTCGTGCGGGACAGTGGCGAGAAATACATTCGAGACGTCGAACGGCACGCTATAGATTCTCACGGTTCATGTGATTTGTCTAGCGAGCTGACCAGGAGCGGTATACGCTGCTGCGCTGGGAAATGGGTGGGAAGTAACTGGCGAAACATCCTTAAATCCGTTACAACACAACGCGCTAAAGGGCTTAACTACGTATGCACGTCCCGTTTCTAGTGCATACTCCGTAAATTGAAGTGAATGTCACGAAGGGTACCGTAACTCGTCGCCTGGATATGCGATTGTCGCGAATATCGTTAGCATCTGTGGATCTCATGTCAGACGAAACACGTTTTGGGGGTGGTTTTCATGTAAAAAACATAAAATATGTGAAGCGAGGAGGAGTGTCCCAGCCCAGGCAAGCTTGGCTTCCACCACCCCGTGTCAGTTGCAAATTATGGGACGCTTTCGAAGAGCGTTTGTGGGGCGCTTTGCAAGAATGGTCTCTTCAGTTCTAAAAAGTGTTCAGCCGACTCGGTGATTTCGGAACTTTCACACCCTCAAACCCACCGTTCCTGGTCCCCTGCCCTCCAATTCAACCGCAACACTTTTTTGGCGGTGGAGGGAAAACAGCAGGAGTTCCCTCATGTTCGCCTGAACGCGAGCCTGAATTTTCACCAGCTGTAGCCATAGGCTCAGGTCCCTCCAAGGTCCCTTCTTCAGGAGCTTTTCCTGACAAAACTGCTGCAACAGAACTCCTTAGCACAAGGGGGGAGGGATCGCGAATTGTGATTGGCTCACAAAATCTACTCTCGGAGCGGCTAACGCGTTCCAAGGTGTGAAAATTCTCCTGGCGCCCCGCCTGACCAGCTGAAGGCGCGGGCTTGTCAGGCAGGCAGTCTTCTGACCTAGGGCCATGGTTTGCATATAATCCACAACCCTGCTGCGGATTGGTATCGGAAAATCCATAAAACAGCATTTGTCATTTTCCTCGACTCCTCCTAAACCTACTATATTATCACCTGAAGAAACTCCTCTGCTTCCATTTCGCTGTTGGCTTCCTTTTCTTCTTGCCACAACTGCCATTGCACTGTCCTTCTCGCATCCGCCCACCCGCAAGTCTCTCAGGGATTTCACGCGAACTGAAGCTTGCGTCTCTACTCTCCTCTTCCTCCTCTACTCCTGTGAATCTTCGGGAATCCGAATCGTCTGAATACCTCTGCGCCCGTAACGTCTCGACGACGACGAAGCATAAAGCTTTGGCGAGCCGCGGACTCTTTCAATTGCTCAAAGTCACGACTTCTCCACCAATTCTCCTCGGCGTCTCAGCAACCAGTGGTCAAACAACGAAGCAGCGGCAACGCAAGCAGTAGCTGGAGAAGAAGCTGCAGGCACAAGGCGCAGCCATCCCACGCGCTGGCGTTGACTCCACGCACGCATCTTTCAATAGTCACGCGAGGGAGTAAACCACCGGGCGTCATGGCGAGTACCGGCCGTCCCTCTGTCTCTAAAGCGCCTCGAAAATCGTCGTGTCATCTCGAAGTGCCGGTGACGCTTTCCCTCTTCCTCGTGACCCTCGCGCACTTCGCGCCGCAAATTGCGGCCAACAACTGCCCTTCGTTCCGGCCAATCGGCGTCGACTGTCCTCCCGCCACGTCAGGAGCATCCGCGTCCACATCCGACGCCGCAAATCCCGCCTGCAAATCACAGGCCTACTTGGGCCGATTCGCCGTGCAGGGCTCGAAGCGCTTCCGCCTCCCAGCTCTCCCGCACGGCGTTCCGCTTCCGCCGGGCGCGCTCGCGGCGGACTGCTGCGCGGAGTGCCAGCAGCGCGCGGACTGCGCCTACTGGAACATCCTGCTCCGCCCGCGCCGCTGCCTGCTGTTCGCTGCTGACGTGTGCGCCGCGGACGGGCCGGCGGTATTTCTTCCTGGCGAGGAGAACGCCTTGTAAGTCCCTCGGTCCTGAGCGGTTGAGAGAGATTTCCGTGACTTACTCTCATGTCCTCCCCTAGCCTTCTCGCCGCGGACACGACGGCGGTATTTTCTTCCCGGCGAGGCGCGCGTGTAATTTCAGCTGATCGAGTCCGGCGTCTCTTCCCGCATCTTTCCACGTGTCTTCACCACTTTTCGTTCCGCTTCTTTTCAGCGTCCTTTCCGTGTCCCCGTTGGCGCTCCTGCTTTCTTTCCTTTTCTTCCTCGTTCCCCTTGTTCCACCCTTCCCCTCCTCATGGCTCCCCTGTCAATCTCTAACCGCACTATCTCCCGCGTCTCTTCTTGAGGCGCTTGGAAAAGTCCTCGTCCCCCTCGTTCCACCCTTGCCTTCCTCCCCCCTCTCCTGTCTATTACTCAATACACTCTATCCCCCTTCCTTCTCTTCGTGTACGGTGCTACCTTATTTTTCTATTTCCAAATGCTTCTTGCAGCGTCGGGACTCGCTACTGCAACGCAACGAAGTCTGTAACGCGAACAACGCCCAACACCGCCGATACCACACAAGACGGCAGCACACCTTCCGAGAGTGCGCTTTCCCTTTTCGAGGACGCTATTGACGAGGATGAGCAGGAGGCGGCGGAGGGGCAGGCGGAGGAGAGAGCAGAAGCGGAGGAGGAGCATGATGCGCATGTCATGGGCGTGTTGGAAGGGGACATGGCGAGAATGCAAGCAGAGGAGGCGGAAGAGTTGAATATCGTGGAAGCAGCGTCTCAGGCGGCAGCAGCAGCAGCAGCAGCAGGAGGCAGGGGGGGCGTTTCAAAACAACTCTGAGGCCATGGCTGCTTTGGAGCTGGAAGCGATGCAGAGCGAGGAGGAGCAGACGGAAGAGAATCAGCAGCAGCAGCAGCAGCAGCAGCCGGAGCAGAACGAACAGCAGGAGCAGCAGGAGCAGCCTCACGGCGTCGAAGTCTTTGAGCTTTTCGAGCTGCAGCAGGAGAACCCCGAGCCTTTCCAGGAGAATTCTCAGGTGATGCAGCAGATTGAGAAGGAGGGCGTGGCAGTCCAGCAGGCAGGAGAGGGCTCCACCATCCAAGTCATGGAAGCCTTTGAGGAGGAGGAGAATGATGAGGAGGGAGAGAAGAGGGAGGAGGGAGGGGAGGGAGAAAAAGAAGAGAGGGAGAAGGAAGAGGCAGCTCGGGCTGCAGCAGTCAAAGAGATGGAGGAGGAGGAGATTCCGATCCGCCTCGTGTCCTTCTCGCTTGTCGACCCCAGCTCTCAAGTCACGAGCCAAGCAGCAGCCATGGAAGCAGAGAAGGCGGCGAGAGAAAACAAAGAGGAGGCGAAGAAAGGAACAATCGCAGAGCAGGCTGCGTGGAGGGACCTGGAGCAGCAGGAGATTCCGGCAAAACTGACCTCATATGAAATGCTGGATGCTGATGCTCTTGCCGCAAACCAAGCAGCAGCAATGGAGGAAGAAGCGGCGGAGAGGAGGGCAGATGCCAGCGTAGCCGCGCTGAAAGACCTGGAGGAGCAAGAAATCCCGGTGAAGCTAACCTCTTATGAGATGGTGGATGCTGGTTCGCTGGCTGACAGGCAAGCAGCGGCAATGGAGGAGGAGAGAGAGGAGAGGCAGGAGAGTGAGAGAGCAGCAGTGCTGCGGCAGCTGGAGGAGCAGGAGATTCCCGTGTGGCTTAACCTGAGAGGGCACTCTGCCTTCCACACGACGTCCTGAGCTGCGTCTAGTAAGCGAAGCAGAGCAGAAGGAGCTGGATCCACTGGAAAAGTGGAACAACCTTCAGTCACCCGGTTACCATACTTTATTTTTCACTATAAACTAGTGGTGGGTGTACTTGTATGATTGATACAAGCTCGCGCTGGCTGTGGGCTGGGTGGTTCACGTGTACTATGTTGTATAAAATGCTATGCAATACAATCTAGATGACCAAACCGTTATCGTTTCCCAAGCGACCTCCGATAACGGCATTAATGCAACCTGTCACTAATACGGTAAGCTTCATCTTGGCCGAAAGTGCACCACGCCGTATACCACAACAGAAAATGAGGAGACGAAACGAGAAGTGTCATGTACACTTCGCTGGGTCTGAGTAACTGATCGCACGTGGTAGCATATTCACATATGGACATCAATAGCAGCCAAAACAACGCAATGATGGTGGTGGTGACTTCTCCCCCAAGTGCATGAACTGATGAAAACACTAACAAACAGGTAACAAACACCGCTAGAAGTTTGCCTGGACAGCAGAGGAGAAAGGGCTGCTGTTCACATGCCACCCACAACCAGCACCACACCATACCACACCACACTATCAACTCTACGCAATTTGTCTCTCACTCAGCCTTGGCTCATGCCCTAATCAGCCCCCCCTCAACTTCCCCACTCCTGCGGCTCATCCTGGGTGGCCCCATGTATTCCAACGCCCCTTACCCTCCTGGCAGCTGTGAGTCGCTCTCCTCCATCTCCACTGCTCCTCCACCCACCCTGCTTAATCCGAGCATAACCCCTTCCTTACTTCAGTGGCCTCACAACCAGCGTCAACAACTCTCACACCTCCAACTCCTCCTCCTCTGCCTTCGGCCCTGCAAGCTGCTTCTCACCCCTTGCACCTGCCTTCCCAAACTTCACCCTCATCCCCACCACCCCATACCCATCCCTACTCTGTACTCGGCCCCCCTTCCTTCCCAAACAGCACCCTCTTGACGGGCGTCCTCATCTCGCTGATCTCATCCAACTCCTCCTCCTCCTCCCTCCCCCCGGCCAGCTGCTTCTCGCCCTCCCCCTTACCCCTTACCCCTCCTCACTCCGTACTGGGCCCCCCTTCCCTGCCACCAAACTGCAGCCTCCTAACCGGCGTCCTCATCTCGCTGATCTCATCCAACTCCTCCTCCTCTGCCCTCGCCCCTGCCAGCTGCTTCCAGTGGGAAATGCGGCTCTTCAACCACTGAATCTCCTTGTTTGAGACATTCTTTGATGCCTCGTTGACAATTGACCGCACACGCGTGGCGTACCTGCTCAAAACAAAGGGAGAGAAGAGGAGGGGAGGCAGGGAGAAGAGGGAGCAGAGCAGAGGGAGGAGAGCAGGGAAACTGTTGCTTCATTCACAATCAACCGCACCCGCGTAGCGTACCTGCTCAAATGCAAGGAGGGGAGGAGAGAAGGGGAGGGATGAGAGGGAGAGTGAGGAGGGTCGGGAGGGAGAGGACGAGTGTTGCTACTATCATGCACTTTAGCCACTGCACCTCGTTCTTTAAGAGGTTACCATGAAAGAACCATAAGCTCACCATGCTTGAGTTGTTGGTGAACGAGGCAACAAAGAGCCACTGCACTTACTGAACACGCTCTTTGATGCCTCTTTCACCGTCAACCCAAGCAGGGTGAGCTTGTGGTGCACCAGTGACACATCATCCCCCCTTTCCGTCCCTCCCCCCCTCCTCCCCAACCACCCCCTCTCTCTAACCCCCCCACCAGACCCCCCATCCTTACATGAGGGAGTTGTGGTTCTCGTCGAGGTTCCCATCTGCCGGCGAAATGTTGACAAACATGAGCGTGTCTTAGCTCAAATCACCCTAAACCATCACACCACCTCACAGTCACCAACCCCTAAGCCCAAGCCCACTTACGTGAGGGAGTTGTGGGTCTCGTCCAAGTTCCCATCAGCCGGCGAGATGTTCACAAACATGAGCTTCTTGGCTCAAAACACAAACATCACCTCATTGTCACCAAACCCCTAAGCCCATAGCCCACTCACGTGAGGGAGTTGTGGGTCTCATCGAGGTTCCCATCAGCCGGCGAGATGTTGACAAACATGAGCGTCTTGGCGTTGCCGCCCAGCGAGTCGCTCATGAGCATCGTGAGCTTGTGGTTGCGGTAGGGGATGTGCCCGCCGCCCTGCGCCAGCGCACTGATCACGTCCCCCAGAGCAGAGAGAGACTTGTTGATTGACTGCGCCTCCCTCAGCTGCTCTCCTTCTGATTTTGACTTCTTCACCCTCTCTGACCCGGCCAGGTCCACAAAAGAGAGCTGGAGGTGGGGTAGCGGACAGGGAAGAGGGAAGAGCGAGGGAACAGGGGAAAGCGGACGGAGGGACAGGCATAAGGGAGAAAGAGAAGTTTGTGGTTGCGGTAGGGGATGTGCCCGCCGCCCTGCGCCAGCGCACTGATCACGTCTCCCAAAGCAGAGAGCGACTTGTTGATGGACTGCGCTTCCCTCAGCTGCTCGCCTTCTGACCGTGACTTCTTCACCCTCTCTGATCCGGCCAGGTTCACAAAGAGAGCTGGAGGTGGGGAAGAAAGGGGACAGTGGGAGAGAGGTTGTGATTGCCCTCAGCTGCTCACCCTCTGATCGCTACTTCTTCACCCTCTCTGACCCGGCCAGATTCACGAAGGACAACTGGAGTTTTGGGGGAGTGGGAGTAGGGGAAGCAGGAGACACAGGAGAGAGGGAAAAAGGGAGACGTGATGATAGACTGGGACTTGTTGATGATTCGGGCCTCCCTCAGCTGCTCTCCTTCTGACCGCGACTTCTTCACCCTCTCTGACCCGGCGAGATCCACAAAAGAGAGCTGGAAGGATGAGGCAACAGAGAGAGCTAGATGATGAGGTAACTCTGTAACACAATTGGGTTACAGAGGTAACGCGGTATGGGGGAGAGGGAGATGGTGCCAGCAAATTGGGTTACAGAAGAGAAGAAGAACACTCGCTTCTTGTGCACGTAATCCTATGCACCCTCACACATCCACACTCTCACCTTTCCTCTGCAGACGTTTTGGGTCTGCAAGTCGGTCGTCTCAATCACAATCGACAGCACCAGGTGCGACCTGGAGCTCTCGGCATTCATCTGCGTGCCAGCCACTGCGCGCCTCTCCATGCCCCCCTGCACCACCGCCTCCAGCTGCGACAGGTACTGCACCTCGATGAGAGTGGCGTTCTCCACAACGACCATGCTCTGGGAGGGAGGGAGAAGAAGTACAAGACAGGGATACAGCACGGTTAGGAGTGGTGCGGAGCAGCCACTGCGCGCCTCTCCATGCCCCCCTGCACCACCGCCTCCAGCTGCGACAGGTACTGCACCTCGATGAGAGTGGCGTTCTCAACCACCACCATGCCCTGGAAAGTAGGAGAGTGATAGAGAGAGCAACAGAACGGTTTAGAGAGGTGCAGAGAGGCCACACCAAACAAGACAACAAACAAGACAACAAACAAACAAGAAACACTGCACACCACTGCTGAGTGCACTCCACTGCTGAGTGCACACCACTGCTGAGTGCACACCACTGCTGAGTGCACACCACTGCTGAGCGTGACACAGCCACGTGCTACATGATACATACCTTGGCATCCTTCTTGATCTCCAGCTTCCGCTTGACCGCGTTCTTCGGCAGCAGCAGGTCCTGCAGCGTGTCCTGATAGAGCTCTAGCATGTACACCTGGAATGGGGGCAAGTCAAAGAGAGACAGGGAATAAAAAGTCAGCAGATGAAAGAGAGACGGAGCATTCGTCGGCAGCAGCAGGTCCTGGAGCGTGTCCTGGTGTAGCTTTAGCATGTACACCTGCCACGGAGGCAGGATGGGGAGGGGAAAATGAGCCAAAGCAAGAGAGTGAGGAGCTTGTGAGGCAGATTGAGCAGCAGCAGATCCTGCAGCGTAATTTGGCAGCATGTACACCTGGGCCAGAAACATGTATAGCAGGATCTGCTGCTCCCCAAGCATGCTGCTAGGCCCTTGAGTTATAGAGAGATAGGGTGGAAAATCAAGGGCCTAGAAGCATGCTTGGGCAGCAGCAGGTCCTGCAGCGTGTACACCTGCCAAGAGGAGGGGTTGTGAGGGAATGTGGAGCAAAGATGCGCGAGAAAGATGAGCAAGTGAGGAGTCTGGCTGGAGGTCAGGTCAGACTGGGCAGCAGCAGGCCTTGATACAGCTGCTGGGACGTACGCCTGGGATACTTGCCACAAAAGGAGAGTAGGAAAGTTGGAGAGCCTGCAACATCAGCTTCACCCCTTCCTGCTCCTAATCACTGCAACTAACTGCTAGACAGCAACCCACCTGCAGCTTGTAGCCCATGCGCCCAGCCTCCTTCCTGAGGCAGTTGAAGAGCTCCTGCATGGCGCGTGGGGTGAGCCCAGGGTTGCGGTCCCCTTCACTCACCGTCTGAAATCCCCTTTTCACCTCCCTGCCCTGCTAATTTTACCAGCCAGAAAAAGGCCACTCACCGCAGCTTGTAGCTCATGCGGCCAGCCTCCTTCCGGAGGCAGTTGAAGAGCTCCTGCATGGCGCGCGGGGTGAGCCCAGGGTTGCGGTCCCCTTCACCCCCCTCCTGCTCCTCTCCTGTGCTAACTCTAACCCCAGAAAGCCAGCCCACCTGCAGCTTGTAGCTCATGCGCCCGGCCTCCTTCCGGAGGCAGTTGAAGAGCTCCTGCATGGCGCGCGGAGTCAGCCCCGGGTTGCGGTCCCCTCCGTAGATGGTGAAAGTTTTCCCGCTGCCCGTCTGCCCGTACGCGAATATGCAGACGTTGTAGCCGTCAATGGCTGATTGGATGAGGTACTGCAAGTGGGGGAAAGGGGAGAACGGGGGAAGGGGAAAAAGGGCAGTGGGCAGAGAGCAAGGTTCCATAGGGTAAGAATAAGAGGGGTGCTTTGATAAGAAGATGCACACACGTTGACCCATGAATGACCAGCAGAATCAAATACTGCAAGGTGGGGAAGGAAGCGGGGGGCG